ATATGCCAGTGTCATCTCTGTAGTGATGGATGCAGCTGGACATAGAAGAGATCTTTCTTATTCTGTGAGCCTCCTATTTAGCAAACTGATTTAGTCTAGTCTAATGAAAGATGTTTTGTAATGGATGCCAAGTACTCATTGGTACTTAGTGGTGCTCCTGGGGAAGGAGAAGAAGTACATTTTTTAAACAAGACCCACCAGAGTGGCACCAGATGACTGGAGCTGTGCTGGGACAGTTACAAGCTGCTTTAAAGTCTTGAATAAAAATCATGAGATATTTTTTTGTCTGCACTTGCCTCTTCGCTTCACTGCATAGCAAGATATCCAAACTCTCAATTACAGACAAGTGTGTTTCTCCAACTCCTAAAGCAGAATAAATATCAACACATATCAAAACAGAATCAACTGAAATCACTCATTCCCCGTGCTCTGGGCATCTACTTTTTCCTTCGTATCCATAACCACGGCCCCTCAGCTTTACTTTTGCTCCCAGCAGAGCTTCCTTAATTAAACAGTCCTCAAATATTTTTCTTTCAATTTTTCCCCCCTCCATAGCAAATACTATCTGAAAGCATTTATCTCCCAGTCTTCCTTCTCAAAGAAATAGATGACCGTGTGTGGCAGAATTGACTTCATAACTATTACTTAACCCATCAAAGCAAATGGTTAACACATACAACCCATTGTTTGAGGATAAAATGCACCAACAGGCACCACACAAAACAATGTTGATTTGTCCAGCTTTGAATCCAAAATAGAATTAGCTTTTCTTCTGGTAGTATATGTTTTTCAAAGCTGATTCATGGAGAAATATCAGGAAATTAATGTTTTTATTAGTACTAAAGTAATTTAAAAAAATTAAATGCTACTTGTCAAACTATTCAAACGTCTTAAATATTCACAAAAGACATTTTTTCAGAATTTATCTTCAACAGCCATTTAAGTACACAGTTAAAGAACTCATCCTTGAACTAGCAAGGATGAACAAAGAGCTCATCTGTTTGATAGTGCATCATTGCTGACTTGAAAAATTTTGTATTATCACCTAACTTATTGTTAAAAATATGTAAAATGACCTTAAATTCTAAATTCTATTTTTACCTCATTCATATTTCTTCGGACTATGAACTACAAAACACTAACACAATAAAGCAGTGATAGCTTTTTTTTTCCAGTAACTACAGAAATATCAAAATTACTATGTTGATAAATAATTGCAATTCTATGCCAAGTTTTTTGGCCCATCGATCCCACTATCCCAAGATGCTTCCAGAACACTACAGCAAACCTATATATGTACACAACTGGAGTTTCCTCCACACCACTGTTTTTCTCTACATCTCCACTTTGAATGTTTGAAAGTATTTGGCAGCTGCCTGGGACAGCTCCAAAAACCACTTTGTCTCAGATCAGAGCAGATTTGACTGAAGGAAAGTCTCCAAAGTGAACGTGCACAACCACAAGTGAAAAATGCCTCCACTTAGAAACACCAGATCAATGTTCAAAAGTACCAGTAAAAATAGCTCAGAGTTAATAGATGAGCAGCACTTTTAAAACACTTTCTTTGCTCATGTTAAAATGGAGAAAAGGCAAAAGTATCATTTCAGACAGCTTATTATTACAATGTTTTCAAAGACAGTACGCTCCTACAAGGGTCTGTGCCATAATACATCCTTCAGATTATTTTATCTTCACATCCTAGACATTTCTGGGGTTAAAATTTAGCAGGAACTGCATTAAGTATAGGGGTTTTTTAATACGGAAATTACAGAACGATCTTGAACATAAATATTCCACAAGGTATATATTCTTGTTTCAAAACAAAATCAACATAGATACATCTCAGGAATAAATTATTTCTATCATGTTTGACTTCAAATCCCGAAAATACCTTGGCAAAATTTATTTTCAGTTTTCATAGCACATATTCTATCCTAACAGCAAACATACTATTAAAAATATCATGATGGAATATGCAAAAAAGCTGGAACAACTTTCTCTCTTGTACTGTGCACAGTTCAGCAGAGACACAGTTCACGTAGTTTTGTTGTAGAAAAATATTTAGTTTTTTATTACTGTTTAAAAATCTGTGTGAACAAAGCATAAGGACAGTGTTTACCTAGGTTATGCCATTATCATGCTATGAAAAGGTTAAGCAAGGGGTACAGTCTATGGATGGGATTCACTTCCCTGAACTGTACTGAAGTTAAGCAAAAGAGACAACTAGATAGAATTGAGTAGGGAAGGATAGGAATCTTCAAAAGGTCATTTTCTCTAACTTTCAAACAGCTATCTTAAGAAACTATGAAACAAGATTAAATTTGCATTCCAGCATCTCATGGTTAGTAATGATCTACAGCAGTGGATTGTGCTTATTTGATCCATCACCATCCTCCTCACTGCCCATTCCCACACACAAAGAATCTGGGTTTGCTGGAAATTCTTCTGTTTCTTCTTCCCCAATATGACTGTGAGATATCTTTTTCCTGAAATTTAGAAGTGGGCTCCCTCAGACCTTATAATTCTTTCTTTTCCAGAAACATATTCAAGTGATGTTCTTCCAGTTTTTCTGGGCATCTTTTTAAGTGACAGCCATGCAGGCCTGAGATGCTCCAAGTACTGTCTCTCAGGAAGAGGCTTAGACAGAATTTCAAAACAAACCCCCAGTTTACTAGCCAGAAAAAAATTACTTGGAGCTAAATAAAACCTAGAATACAGGGGGAAAAAAAGCCACATATAAACTGGGACAGATTCTAAATCTAAGGTAGTTGACCATGACTCTAATGAAAAATAAACCTGAAAGAGCTCTGACACATTTTCACACTTATCTTCTCAATCCTCCCCTCCTTGTCATCCCTTCTCTTGGACTGTCATTCAAAGCACTCTGTTTCCAACAGAACAACCCCCTTCCAAACTACTGACAACTCAGTGCATAAACAGAGTTTTTCTTCACTGTGGCAACTTTCCAAGTAAGGACTGTGAGATCACCAAACAATTGTTTTTACCACAGAACAGAAACAACGTAGAACACTATACAATAATTAACTACAAAGCAGAAGGGGAGAAAAAGCGAAGCCTACTACTCTCTCCTGATATTCTTCTCAGCACTTAAAAACCTCAGAATCCCAGGATGAGCCCTTATTAATGAACAAATAACTAGAGAACTAAACATAGTGCTACCAGCAGTACATTAAAAATGTTTCTTACCGTGGTATTTTCCTCCTGGTATTTTATGAAGATTTCTGGTAAAGAGCAACCTGATCAATCTCTTAATAGCTGACAAAGCCAATTAGAGCAACTTAGGATTTGCAACAGAGCAGAAAGTGCATTACTCACTGTTGCTCAAAGGTATAAATTTCTTTTCAAACCCAGTGTTGGGACAAACCAACGTCCAGGGACAGGGCAGCTCTTCACTAACACACAATTTTAAGTTTCAATGTTTGTCAAACTAAGGAGGTATCTGGGGCAAGAACTGTCACTGACTGTAAGTGCTGCACCCATCACTTATCACTACAGGCACATCAGGGATCTACAACCACAGTTTTCACTTCAGAGCAAGCTTTTCTCTCAGTGGTCACGAGTTTGCTACCCAGCAGTCAGCTTCTACATGAATATTAGTCACAGGCTAAACTAAACACACCTTTGTCCAGCCCTACAAATTCACTCAATGCCTGATTTATCACACAGCTTTCCACGTGCTGTACAGGGGAACTGCATGGAAATACAGCAGACAATAAGCATCACACTCTATAGGAGTTATCAAAAAGCACAAGCAGCCAGAATCCAAGCAATCACTGACCTTTACAAATATTTAAGCTTGCTCCTAATTTTACATAAAGCATTCTCTTACTGATTACTGTCATGTATTATCCAATTATCACTATGCATTCTATGTTGGTTAACTATTTTATGCACGTGCTAGGTAAATACACACAATCAGTAAGACATGCCATATATTCAGTTCACATCACCTCTAAATCACACAAGTAGACACCAGGCAGCAACTGACAGAACCAGAGGACACAGTCTCAAGCTATGCCAGGGAAGGTATAGGTTGGATATTAGGAAAAAAATTTTCACCGAAAGAATAATAAAGTACTGGAATGCTCTTCCCAGATAGGTGGTAAAATCACCATGTCTGGATGGGTTTAAAAAAAGGCTGGACGTGGCACTTGGTGCTATAGTCTAGATTCTGAGTTCAGGTGTTAGGACATAGGTTGGACTCGATGATCTTAGAGGTCTCTTCCAACCTCATTATTCTGTGATTCTGGTTTGTATCATAATCTTCCTACAATACCACAATGCTACACATAGACCTGCATTAGTCCTCTGATGGTCTGCAGACATCCTACTTGTTGGCTATAACCTAGCTGATATCAGCCACATTTCAATGCTCCCCATAACTCCAGCAGCAGAGCTGTGGCAATTACATTCCCATTTTACCAGTCTTCCTGATATACCCAACACAGTTGTCTCAGATTCCTCTTGTAACATAAGTATTGTGATCATCCCTGCAGTTTTTCACCAAGTGGTTTGGGCTGGAACCAACTAAACCTGCCGTGGGCAGGGACACTTTCCACTAGACCAGGTTGTTCATCCAATCTAGCTTTGAACACTCCCAGGGATGGGGCATCCACATCTTCTTTGGGCAACCTGTTCCAATGTCTCACCACTCGCAATGTAAAAAATTACTTCTTCATATCTAATCTAAATCTACCCTCTTTCAGTTTTCTCTGCCTCCATCACATACTGAGGTGAGGTTTCTCAGACACTGCAAGAGGTGTTGCACACTGATGCTGTATCAGGTCCCAGCCCAGATGCACCCAGCTGAGATTCCCTCCGTTCTCAGACACTGCAAGAGGTGTTGCGCCCAGATGCACCCAGCTGAGATTCCCTCCCTCAACTGGAAATACCTCTTTTTGACACTTGCCTGTATCCCATACATTACTTTCATGATAGTGTCCAACTGACAGACTAAAGACAAACTTAAACCCACTTACCCTCATATAGGCCTTTCTCCTTCAAATTCTTCCATTGCTGAACTCCCTCTTCATAGGGAAAGTTGTTGCATTAGCTCCTAAGCTGAGGCTGTAGCACCATCCAGTTTCAGGCATTCAGCACTGATGCCAGAGTCAGGTGCCCAGGCTCTGTTAACAGTCAAGACAGAAAGCAGGAGTTGGGTGCCTAATTAAAAATCTGCCTCTTTCCACTGATTACATAAGAGCTCAGACTGTCATACTGCTAATTTTGATACCAAGGTTAAACTGGGTAAGAGAATTCACGACAATGTGTGGCCTGACACACTGCTGGGTTGAATTCCATCCCTTTAGTGTTATCTAATTGTCCAATTAATTGTACTGTCACTCCATCTAAAACTGCGCACTAAAAATTAATGTCCTCCACCCCTCCACAAGTTTCAACAGCTGCTTTCAGTGCAGCATGCCAACAATATCAAACCCAGAAAAAAAAACAAAACAAAGCAAACAAAAAAGCCTCAAGAAAACTAACTAGCCAAATCCCAAAGAATAATTCCTCTTATATATCTACCTCCTTCTGTCTCTGGTGTGGCAGTTTTTTGGGTGTGTTTACAGTTCTTACACCAACCTAATCTCCCTCCACCTTGAAGAGTATTTTTGATCCAACACCACATTAAATAGCTCAGTAGAATCCAGAGAGACCAGATCTAGCCCATTTATTTTTCTAGAAAACCTACTTTCTTATTAAAAAAAGATACTAGGCCAGTTTGACATGACCTATCTTAGAAAAATAGATTGTGTTTCACCCTCCCTCCATTCAATTCCCATGTCTTTAATTATTTATTCCTTAAAAAAAAATTCTAATGTTATTAGGGTCAAATTAAAAAGCCTGAAGTTGCCTAGATCATATTTTCCATATATGTAAAATTCAATAGTATGAGTAATAAAAATCCTCTAAAAAATCTTAGTAACGGATCTATATTTCAATCACACATAAAAAGTACCTTGAAGAAATTCCCAAATTGGAAACTCCCAATGGAACAACTTAGAAAGTCATTCTGACAGCCAGAAAGTCTGATTGATTTTAAAATATGAGAGATGCAAAAACTGGATGCTTCATCTAAAAATGTAAAATCATGAGTAAAACACCCAAGACTTCCTGAAATCTCCTGAGACCACAAAAAACACAGGATATAGCTTAAGCCTTTGTATAACTTTATATATGTTGGACTCAGTGATCTTGGGGGTCTTTTCCAGTCTTAATATGGGAAATTCCAGTGCAAATCTGGAATTTCCCATATTAAGACTGGAAAAGACCCCCATAATGTTTGTGGGATTCTGTCACACAAGCCTCTAACAGTTGCGCAGTACCTTAAATTGTCGTTATTCCATACAATTTCTGATATTCACAAACTGTTGAATACATTCAGGTATGCATTTCAATTACTTAGGTCACTCAAGCATGCAACATCTGGAAAAGTTTCTGGTATAAAGCATGATGATTTTCATGATAATATCCAAAAGCTTTTTAAAAGAATAAGTACACTATTCATTTCTCATGCTGTGAGAATTTGCTTTTTGTTTTTCTTCCTCTTCTTGTTGTTTTAGTGTTTTGGTATCTCTACCATCTTGACATAAAAATGCAAAAAGAAAAAACCTTTTAAAGCACAAAACATTTCTTAGTCTGCAATTTCAAACTCTTTTTCTGACCCATATTTGCATTTCTCGGCCGTGAGCTGCAAGTAATCATTTTGTTAAAAGGTAATATTTGTATATGTTGCCTCCTTCAGACAAATTTGGCCTTAATTTTAATATACTCACTTATTGACTCATTCTTCAAACAGCACAAGCGTGAGTTGTGCATCTTGATGCTTTAGCAGTAGGTTTGTAGCTGCCTGCACATGTCACGCAATAGTCAAAATAGGCAAGCAGTCAAGATTTCTTCTGAATATCATGGCTAAAAATGTCTAATTGTGCTAAATTAATAGCTATGGGGCATCCAATAGGAGGGGTAGAAGTGGGAGGGCAGGCACCAATCTTTTCTCTTTGGTGACCAGTGACAGGATTGCAAGGGAATGGCATGAAGCTGTGTTGGCAAGGTTTGGTTAGATATTAGGAAAAGGTTCTTCACCCAGGTGGCTGGGCACGGGAACAAGCTCCCCATGGTGGTCACAGCACCAAGCCTGACAGAGCTCAAGAAGCATTTGGAGAACACCCTCAGGCACATGGTGGGATTGTTGGGGCTGTCCCGTGCAGGATCAAGAGTTGGACCTGATGATCCTTATGGCTTCCTTCCAACTCGGGAGATTCTATGATCAAATAAGTTCTGGTTCAGCAGGGTGACTCAGCTGAGGGGCAGCACATGAGCAGACACATAACTATAAGCTTCAGTTCCACTGTAGAAAGCAGAAAAGTTAAGATTTCTCCTGGTGTAGATTTTAAGACTGACGTGAATTTTTGGGAGACCTCAGACCATTGACAATTGCTCCTGACTTCACCAAGGGTGATCTTAACTGCAGATCCTCAGTGTCTACAGAGCACTTTTATTGAGATGTCTGACTACAGTTCAAAGATATGAATTTGAAAATTTTCCCTGCCCCCCCAAAGTTATGAAAAATCCTGCACTAAAGCTAAAAATAACTATGAGTCTATTCTGCTATTTATTCTTCAGAGAGTAGCATGCTAGCAATGCCTCAGTCTGAAGCAAACTGCAGAGTTTTTGTCTTTCATTGCAGTGCTTCAAGCTATTGCAGGCCATACATATGGAGACCATCCAGAGTATTCACAAGTGTTTGTTCTGCACAGTCCAGACCTTTCAGCGTGGGGAAGTCTGTATCTGAGGACCTACATGGTCACTTTCCATCTTCCTAGCTAAAAGAATAATACTAATGTAAGTAGGAAATTATCGATATGCAGAGTTTCCAAGAATGAAAGTAGCATGGCAGGCAGCTGGTTTTGAAGGCTGGTTTAGGTGGTTCAGATTAAGTGTTAATTCGCTCAGTATGTTTTAGCAAAACAGTTATTGCTGATACCCTCATTGTTATTCTTTGGTAGTTCATCTACATACCTCCCAAGGATAATACTGACATTATTAACAATTAGGTACTGGACATTTTGTAATTTAAACATTGTAACAGCTTTATAATTAAAATGCAAACACAGGAGTAAAATTAATGTTATTGAATTGAATGCAAGCTTGGGCTGGATAAAATTCCAAAGACTTTAAAGGCTTGATATAAGAGTAGCATTTAATTCCAGAAAAAGCTTGATTTTTGTGCTTGCACAGAACATAATACAGACAAAATATTTGTAAAAAGACACAGAAGTCGTAAGAAAGAACTAAAGTAATAGCCCACAAATTGCTCTCGTTTCCAGACTCTTAAAACATTTGAAATTCTGCCTCTGTCTTCTCCCTGTGTGCCCTCTTCAGCTGTTCTCATTAGCTATGTGACATTATGTCCTCTTACTTTTCTTTCTCTCCCTCTCCCTGGATTCAAGCTCTATTCAATACCATTATGCCTTCATGTAACATATTATTCAAACTCAGTTCTTCATCTCCCTCTTCACTGCTAAAAGCCATGGTTAACTCTGTATGCTAAAGCCAGCAGTCAGAAAACCCTCTAATGGAATACAGAATATTACAGAAAGGCCAAGTGCCACACATTATGCAATGACTGCATGGGTAGTTATTGCAATTATACATGCCACATTGGTATGGGGCATGAATCAATCTAGCATTAACAAGAGGATGATGAACATAATGCTCTAAGAAACATGATCACTGCGCGTTTAACACAGCCACAGAGTCGCACATGGCCTGCTCTCCATTTATACTCTACAAACTGGCAAGAAGGAAAAAGGAACAAACTAGCAAATGCTGGTGGTTTTTGTTAAAAAATCCCCAAACTGTAAAAGCAAATAGAAAATTTGCAGTAAAAGCTAACAACAGTAACTATAAAGAAGCTTGCTGTGCTCATATTAATGATCACCTCTCCTTAGTTGGTCACCTGTGCTGTTTGTCCACTCATCATCTACACCAGTATATATTTTAGCAGGGCACGTTTTCTAGACATGTCACCCAGAGAATTGACTGAAGAGAAAGCTGTGACTTTTACTTAAAAAGAGTGACATAACCTGTCTTATACACAATTAAGGAGCCTTAATCAAAAAAACTATGTGGAGCTTTACATATGCAACACAGAGTTTCACTCCTAATATAGAAGACACTAAATCTACATCAGTGGAAAGAAAATATTCACCAAAGTACCAAGCAAACAGAAGTGGTAGCATTCTCTTTTCCTTGTCTCCAGATCTACTCTAACACAAAGTTTCAAGCAGGTAGTGCAATTTAACAAAAAATGGAGTGGGTTGCACAGCCAGGGCCATATTTGAGAAACACTTAATTAGGATGATATGCTGTCCCTGTTGGGGAGCCCCAAATGCTGTCTTTTACCTCTATTATAATGTATTTCTTTGCTAGTGTGGAGACAGATCCCACAGGGGAGAAGTCATAGCTGTCTTGGGGTAGAATGACAATTCTTTTTTAATTTCTTCAGCAAGAAACAGAACTGCATTGGATGGAGATGAAGGATTGCCTCGGGCATCTCTTTTCCAATGCAGACAATGATTAATAAAAGAAAGAAAGATGGTATGAATGACTAGTATTACTGCAATTCCTTTTAAGTCACAATATAGCTACAGGATCTGGCAATGCTAATTTGCTGCTGGCAACTTTATCCTGGCTTTCTTGGCATGGAGGAAGATCTGTAAGTGCATCCCTGATTCCCAAGTTGTTCTTCACTGAGCAGTTCAAGATGGTCAAAAGAAAAAAAATTATACATAAGCCCCTAGAGCATCCTGTTGTGCACTCTGTTCCATTCTGCCCCAATTAAATAACTGAGTCCATGGTATCGACCATTTGCTTTAATTTCAGATGTAGGCACAGTCATGGCAGCACACCTCTCTAGACTTTCCAGTAATTGATTCTCAGACTGCATTAAGACACACATTTAACACAAGAAAAGCAATGCTGCAGGAGAAAGTGCATCTACTGACTTTGTCTGCTTGACCTTACAAATGAATCTGATCTCCCTTAGGAGGAGCAGGGGAATAACATCTCTGAGAAGTCAATACTGTTCACCATTGACTCTACTCCACCATTCATTATTTGCTGAACTCTGTAAAAGGGCACTAAGGGCACTACATCAGGGACAAGGACACTGAGGTCCACCCTCAATTTCTGCATGCAACCATAAGCATCAAATTTGACCAAGAGCATCCTTTTACACCTCTCACTACTTTCTACTCCCACACCAGCAAAACTTCCTGCCTCTACCAGAAGACTCATTTTGTTTGTCTGCTTCACACTGCCTTGCAGTTCAGGCCACATCCCCTCACCTCATCAGCATATGTGGCCCAACTTCTCTTACTCTCTGGAACGCCAGAAGCAGCTGCTTAGCTCAAAACACATCTGCTCTGCACACAGGAAGCAAGAGGAGTCCTATGACTGAGCTTTGCTTGGAAACCAGTGGCCAAGAGTCTTCTCACTTCTGCTAACAGGAGCTCCAGAGTCAGAGATTTATCTCTCAGAGCCTAGTAAAGTGACCATCAGCCTCTGCACCCTGCCATACCTCAGGACATAAGGCAGCTCTTTCACTGTGGAGAAGAAAATACTTGACAAATGTCTGTGAAGTGCTCAGCAGGGCTCAGTTCCCATCCTGAAGGATACTGCTCTGTGCTACAGCAATGCTCCATGACAGGCAGACCTGCCTTCTTCATCAACATCTCTGGATGTTTAAGGAGAAAAAGTAAAGAAAAACTGGTTTGTTCCTTCGGTAGAAACTGGCAACAAATATTGGCCTTTCAGCAGAGGCTGTACATTTAATCTCACAGGCTTCCACAAACACATCATTTGTCCAATTACAAACATATCATACTGTCACTAGCTATTGAACTTCCTCACCTTCTGTGGGCAATTCATCCAAATAAAAACAGAAAACCCCTGGCCAATACAATTAACTACTCACACTACAAACCATAGGGTAAAAGCATGCCACTGGTACCAGAATGTCAGATCTTGTCAGTGCTTCATTATTTCCAAGGCTGAAAGTTCCTTTTAGATTTTTCTGCCTCTAATTTATGAGGAATCTTTGAACTCTTGCCTTCAACGTCAACAGATCATCACATATTACAGTAGTAATCACTAAAATTATCTTACCTTACTCCACCTTTCACAGATGAAATTCAGCATGTGTATCCAGTTCTATTTTTAATGAAGTCTGAAAGACACAAAAAGCACAAATTATTTCTGAGTGAATCAATCCATATAAACAGGCTAGTAGTATAGGATTTTTTTTGGGGGGGGGTGGGGCAGGGCAGTAAGTAATAATTACAGGAACTAAACCCAACTAAAAACCTGGGAAAAAATGCTGAGTGTTAACATTTTATAACACAGCTTCTCTATCATATGAAACAAAATCATTCATTCAGTTTCACACCTTCACCTCTTTATTTACACTCAGAGAACAAAGTCTGTATAACTGGGAGGTAGGAAATACCTCTATAGATCAAACTTTTTATCTCAAGATCAAAACATGAACTTATCAAGTAGTATACCTACCAGTATAATTTTTTAACCTGAAATATCTACCATTTTGCTTCAACAGAGCATGTTAGAAATCTTTGAGTGTGGTACCACAAAAATGTGGCAAGTCAACAGGTTCCTATGTGGAGAAGATGCTTCTCTATTAAAAAGTACACATAGGGCAACCATATACATATATACAGTAAGATTAAGAAAGGTAAATCCTTAATTCACAGAAAAATGAAGTCATAGGAAAAGCACTCCTCAAAACATTAAATTCAGGAAGGATTCATACATAAAACAGTGTTCAAATGTGTGATGCAGTAATCAAGATGCAATTCATCAGCTTACAGCAAAACTAACAAAGGAGAACCAGAACTGAAGTAAAAGAAAGAAGTTAAAAAGTACTAAGATAAAGCAGCACACTACAGACTAACAAGAACTTCTGCTACCAACTGGGAGCTTATCAGTTGAAAAAAAACCAAGAAGAAAGAAGGCCTTCAAGTCAGATAACACAGCCACAAAAAGGGAGATAACTCCACTAGGGTGTACCAGCCAATGTGTTCCTGCTGCTGCTACAAGAAGCAGCAATGAAACCAAGTCAGGAGCACTTGCTAGAACGAGCTGAACAGCACCCAGCTCAGCCTGCAACACGCAGAGAAAGGCCTGTGCAGACAAGGAAGCGCCTTCTGCAAAAGCACTGTTAAACTCAGCAAAGTGGAAGCTGAGGCAAGTTACAATTTGCTCTTCAGAGATACATAACAAGGGCTTTCACCACTGAGGTGAAAAAAGTGTTAAGATAAACAGAATGTTAACAAAGTAACGAATATAAGCTGAAAAATAGCAACAAAAAAAAACGACAGTTTAGTCAAGGGTAACCTTGCTTTCCATATAATAAAGTGTTACACCAACATTAAAACCAGACTTAACAATTTAGGAAACTGCATCCAGCCCTGTGCTTTCATGGACTCATAAACAAAGCATTTAAAATTTCTTGCAAAATTATACCTCTTCACAGAAGTGGTCTGCAAAGCAGCTTAGGTTTTGTTCTCTTTTCATTGTCCAAGGTGAAGGCAGAACAAACTTGACATTCACATCTATGACTGTCAGTTCAGATGAGAAGTTACAAAGCATTTAATTAACCCTGGCTATTTGTTCTCCATGAGAACAGAGACATCTAACATTATATGGAGCTCTTTTCAGGGTAAGTGTGATATGCAAATTATCAGGAAAAAAAAGTAATATACTATTCAAAATAATTTTTATATTGGCAAATTCAGTTGCAAAGTTCCAATTTAATATTCTTTATAACTTCTACTGTATTTATTTAGTATGTTTATTTTTTCTTTTTCCACTCTAAAAGCAGGGAAAATGCTGTGAAAGTTCCTAGATACCATGAAGGCTACTGTCAAGGCAAGTCATTGCCAGTCACACTCACAAGATCAAGGGCTAATATGGACTTATTACATTAATATCCTGTAATATACTGTGCCACCTTCACCTTCAAGGACATCTAATATAAAACTTAAACCTGGCCAGGTATTATTTATTTAATTTAAAGGAAGAAACTAAAATGGCAGAGATTACAAAGGAGTCTAAAAGCTCTATTTACAACACTGTGACAAAAACCAGATTAGCTGTGTGGAGACAGGCAAATCCTTTTCAACTTTGTGGCTCAGCTCACGTATCTGTAAAATAGAGACAATGTGCCCTAGTAACTACATCAAGCTTCTTTGCTGCCAAGTTATATTCCTAACTTGTTCACTAGCTTCAGCAAGTCACACCCATCTTGCAAAGCAACACGGAGATGGGTGATGTGTTTTCAAATCAGCCCATCAGAGAGATTCTTAAAAAAATATTTCAACTTCTGCAGAAAAGGCAAGACCTACCCCTACCAATCTCTCTGCAACTTCTGACCTCCTGCAGATGCCCTCCTGCTCTGCACCCCCTTCTGAAAGCAACTTTGGGTTTTTGACTGCATTTCTAGAGGCCGTCTTTAAGTCCTCCTCTTTGACACAGCCACAGTTTTTCATTGCACTCTAGTTCTGTTGCACTTTGGTACCTGATTCAGAACTGTCAAAGTGCAGCTTTAGCTGTAACAACTAAACTGAAGAGCAGCAGCATATGCCCAGGCATTACACTCCCAGAGACGCTAATGGCACTCGCAGATGAACAATTCTAGCTGGGCACCAATCCAAGCCTTTTTCACCCTACATTGTAAAGTTTTTTAATTATATTGCCCTGTAATAGCAGTAAAACCATAGCAGAGGGTGGTAATGTACTACTGTAGACTGCACCAAAGGACCATCTTCTTTACATGTTCTGCCTTCTTCCTCTGGCCTTTTGCATCAAGACAGCTTCATTACAGAAAAAAAAAAAACAAACGAAAAAACAAAATTACTGCAGCATGGTTTTGCTTAATTAAAACCATTCAGAAATTGTTTTGCAATAGACTGATGATGGCAGTTCAAACCTTACAGCTTGCTGCCAGATTTAAAAGCCATTCAGATGCTTCACTGTAGAGAAATTACATATAGTAAGGCTTTTTCTCTCCCCAATCACTTGTGCTTGCATCCAGGGTTACCACATAAACTAAGGATAGCATAATTTCTCCATTAAATCTGCCACACCATTATTCCCAAGTACTGCAGAAAGTGAAGTGCATAACACTATTTTCTGTAGAAAAATATCAGTGTGCTAAAAACCAAACATAAAAATAACAGGCAGTATACATGCTCTCACTGGAAATCTCTCACTTTCTCCTCCATGTTCCCTTCTTTCTGACTCACTGGATAGCAGCTAAATCATTCCAGGAAGGAAGGCACACTAACAAACACTTTTCCTTTGCAATTAAATGTGGTGTCAACACCTCTGAAGAGCACCTGCAACCCATGACACCAGGTGTGATTTTGTCTATTAGTTAATCATGGAAAAACAGAGCTGCTTTGACTGGAGGTTAGCCTTGATAGTTTTTGTCCAGGTTCAGTCCAACAGATGTGCTATTCCCTCAAGAGCTGTGCCAATCAAACTACTGTCTCCCATTGCCTGTCCTCACTTTTTCCCTCCTTCTGTCTGTCAGCAAAATGGCACATGTTGGTATAACCTAAACATCTTTTAAAAAAAATCCAAACACACTACATTAAAAGCAAACAAACAACCAAAAAAAACCAAACAAAACAAACCCGACCAAAAAAAACCCCAAAACAACCCACCCAAAAACAAAAACACCAACCAAAAACCAACTCCACCACCCTACCCAGCTTCTCTCCAGAATACTTGGACAGAAAAAAAAAGGCAAAACAGAACACTTGGCAAAAGGTATAATGCAAAACCAAAGCTCTCTAACAAGCTCAGGATGGAGAAGGACTGTTTGCTGATAATACTGGCAAATTTGAGGGGCAAGAATCGCTGCAGTGGACAAGAAGGTGAGGATGAACCACATGACAGCAGAGCTGCAAACTAATGCTCATTCATAGCAAGTTGTTAGACCCAGTGTAGCTCAGAAAGTATTTCCTGTAAACATATTTTATAGGCTCAAGTTTCCAATAATCAGCCTACAAACAGAGGCAGCACGTTCTTTTTCTAGCAGACAGAAGGTAGAAAATACTGTGTGTCCTGCTGTGCTGTCTGATCTCCTTTGCTTTGGGGCAAATAAAATACTGCATTGTCTAAACTCCCTTGCAACTCTTGCAATACATTATTTCTTGGATTCTTTTTTCATTCCCCATTTTGAAATACCAGTTTACAGGAAACATAAGAATGTAAAACAATAAACTCACTTCATTCTGAGCAAATCATTATTGTGATAAATATGGCACCTCTTTTTGCAGTATTTACAGAAGATGCTATCACCATTACACCAAAATATATCCTCCAGAAAAAGAGTAAACTTGCCTTGTCTTCATGTCACTTCCCCAGAATTACTTCAGATTTGCTTGCATTATGTATGCAACCTGTACTGTGCATATTATGTAAACAACATTAAAATTTTATTTATTCTCAACTCCTGGTTGTGAAGAAATAAAGTACATGTCTGCAACTCTATCTGTCACTTGGTTGTAGCAGTCCTTTAACATTCCTTACGCTAGGACTCCTTCATTCCTGAAGGAGTCACAACTACTTGTCAAGCAGAAACACGGGTACAATTTACCTTGCTCTGCGCCTCATTTTTATGAAAAGGAAATCACAGAACACAGCAGTACCTCCCCAGGTTGAACACAGAGAGTCAGAACCCGGAGCATGACACAACATTAGGTCCATTCCTCAACACTGTCAAACACACACCTCCACAAAGTCAGTCTAGATACAGAGTGCAGTTCCGCAAAATGGGAAGCCAGGAAGAGAAGATTACAAAAGACAGTCTCAAGGTCAAAGTGGTTTGCAGAAGTAGATCCTGTATTTCATATTCTATTTTACATACAAAAGAGAAGACATGGTTTGATTGCACAAGCATTACTGACCCAACCATCTGCTATGTGTTTATGCAAAAAGATGAGGTGACACTCAGGACCACAGTGCCCCAACTGTATTAATTTTGTAATAGTGTTGATAGTAAATGAATGGTGTCCAGTATCTAAAATTCTTACTCTCTTCTTTAATTTATTCTATCATTGTCACAGTAAGACACATTTTACTTAGCTACCAAATGCCCACAGTGCCTCTCCCTTTTTTTATCATGGAAGGCAATGTTTTCAA